TGGTTGGCCTGACTTTGAGAATGGCAGTGAAAGGGTAGTGCCCAGTCCTCTAGTTCAAGCTATTGGTTAGTCCCATGCAGTGTAATTAATGGAACTGAAGAGAGTTAGTCAGCTGGGTGGCAGCTGAAGTGGAGCAAGCATCCCATGGTCTGGGAGGCAGCTGAGTCGAAGGGAGTCAGGAGAGGTACATAAAATATGTTTGATATAGAAGCTCATGATAATTTTAAAATAAAATTTTAAACATTAAGATTTACTTCTTCAATCTGAAAAGATCCATCCTTTAGCAGAAAGATATTACTTTTAGCAAGTAAAATCTAGGCTCTCTGAGTTAGGATATTGTTAGAGAGCACACATCACTTCCATCACATCCCATTAGCTGGAATTTAGTTATTTGTTTGCACTTAAGTTAAAGAAAGTCTGGGAAATGTGGTTTAGTTGTATTCCTGGGGAGAGGAGAAAACAGGTTTGGTAAGCTGGTTCCTCCACATAGGTAATGTTTAGCACTAGAATATTTCTAAAGAATTGTGGTGATGTTCTCTTAAGTAGTTATTGGTTCTTGTTAGAGGTTAATTTGAAATATGCCACAGAGATCACTGACGAGGGCATCCAGATGTTTGGCCTGATATAAGATTTTTCTGGTAATTGTAATGGATTTAATTCAAAATTAAAAAATAGATGAATAAAGATAGAAAATTGGCTATCTCAGAATATTTGTGGTATGCTACAGCTGAATCACATGATGATAAAACTTGCTAACTTCTTTTACTGTACCCCTAACATTCAGGTCAAGAAGGTATTGCTACTTTTCTGTAATATTGACAATTACAATTTAAACAATGATTAACTTGCGTATTAAAACTGTAGTTCAGTTTTATGTGGTGGGAGCAACTGGCTATTTAGTGGATTTTATTTTGATCCATTTAATGTAGTTCCATGTAAAAATTTATTCTTGCATAATTATGAATCACTAACAACATATATTTTACAAAGATATGACTCAGTATTGTTACTGTTACATAAATATTTGGGAAAAAGTAGAACACACCAAAGTGGCATGTTAAAATTTTTTTTCTGAGAACAAAAGTTTCTTTTATTAAAATCATAGGCCTACAACTAGAATATACAACTGTGTACTTGGGGGAGAAGAAGAAAACAAGAGAAAAGAAAAAAGCATAGAAAAGTAAATTAAGTTTTATTTGGTCTAAGTTTCCTTTTTTCATAAAAAGTTATCTTAAAAGAAAATGTTCTAGTATTTTATTATAAGTGGTAAAGATCAAGACACAGATATATATCTGCGTTCCCTATTAAAAGATTTTAGTGATATTTCACAGGTGGCTATTCCTCCCAAGGAATCTAAAGCAGACGGCTTTTCAAGTTTTTATTATGGAAAATATTAAATTTACACAAATATTGAGAATAGTATAATATATGTCTACTAACCTGTCACTCAGCTTCAACAATAATTAACATTCTTCTATTCTTGTTTCATAGCCAACCCTGGCGGTCCAGTGGTTAAGATTCAGTGCTCTCAGCACTGCAGCCTGGGTTCATTTCCCGGTCAGGGAACCACACCACCCATCTGTCATTGTCATACTGTGGTGGCTGTGTGTTGCTGTGATGCTGAAAGCTATGCCACTGGCATGTCAAATAGCAGCAGAGTCACCCATGGTGGACAGATTTTAGGGGAATTTCCAGACTAACACAGAACTAGGAAGAAGAACCTGGCCACTCACTTCTGAAAAAACTGGCCATGAAAACCCTACGAACAGCAGTGGAGCATTGTCTGATATGGTGCTGGAAGGTGAGAGGATGGTGCAAAAAGACCAGGCAGGGTTTCACTTTGCTGTACACAGGGTCACTAGGAGTCAGAATTGATTTGACAGCACTAACAACAAATTTTTTTCACATATTCTACTCAAATTTTTCTTGAATATTTTCAGGCAAATTCTAGACATAACATTGTACTTGTATGTGCTTCAGTATGTGTCTCTAACTGATAAGGACTTAAAAAAAAATAACTATTAGTACTATTATCATTCCCCCTTCCCTTTCTTATACCAAGTCCATATTCAAATTTTTCCCATAGGGAAAAGGTTCTAAAGGTGTCTTTTTCTTAGTTGGTTTGTTTGAATCAGGATTCCAACAAAGTCACACATTGCATTTTGCTGACATTCCTCCTCAGTTTATTTTAATGCTGTAACAGTTCACTTCCCCACTTTATAGCCATATGCCATTTATTTGGAAAGAAACTGAGTCTTTCATTCTGTAGAATATGCCACATTCAGGATTTAGCTGATTCTTTCCTGTGGCATTGTTTAAGTTCTTTTATTCTCCAGTACGTCCTGTTAAATAGCAGTTAAGTCTAGGGTTTTGATACATTCAGGGCCATGATGAAGTTTTAAAAGCAAGAATATTAAAGAGGTTGTGCAGTGAACATCCTATTCTATCATATCAAGATATGCTTAATGTCTACGCATCTCCCTTTCAGTGATTTTAAAATCAGTGGGTTCAGATAATGGCAGCCTAATATTTCTACTAAAATGTTGTTCATCAGCATCTTTTTTTTGTTTGCTGAGGAAGATTTGCCCTGAGCTAACATCTGTGCCAATCTTTCTCTATTTTGTGTGTGGGACACTGCCACAGCATGGCTGCTGATGAGTGGTATAGGTCCATGCCTGAGAACCAAACCTAGACTGCTGAAGCAGAGTGTGCTGAACTTGCCCACTAGACCATGGGGCCAGCCCCCATCATCATTTTATGCAAGGATTTTAACATAAAATGATAATCATTGCCCAAGTAAATATTTATTATTTTTTAATTCCGTCATTCCTTTTGCATTTACTGGCTGTGATCCTTTTGTAAAGTAGAGCTATCCTTCATCAACTATTTATACTGAAACACAGTCCTTACAGGAAAGGTAGGATAAATACTTCTTTCCCTTTTTATATTTTTGTAAAAATTCTCAGAGTGACGAATCTTGCACTCAGCAAAGATAACCAACGACTTTTGTGTGTGTATCAGTATGAAATTATGGATTTTTAGACATTGCATGTGCTTCAATCCATTGCTGTCTTTTTTCTTGTTGAGCTCTAGTGATCCCTTCTTTGATAGCGGGAGGCATTTAAGTTGTCCTTTTGTCATGACCATGGTGTTTTTATAGACATAATAAGAAGTCCCAGACTCATCTTGTACATTTTCTTCCCGAGATCCTAAGTCAGCTATTTCTCCAAGAAAGTCCTGGTTCCTTTTAGAGGTAAATGGAATTTGGAGACCACAATTTGCACATTATTTATTCATTACTTGTATTATTTGTCCATTAAGGGTGTTCATTGTTCTTCTATGCCTTTGTATTGAACAAAGCTGAAAAATAGGTCATTTTCAGAAAAAGGTTAAATAAGTTATGAATTCCTAATGATATTCTTAATTCAAAGATCATAGATTTTATTTAACTTAAAAATGTCATGGATGTCCCTCTTTTCTCTTATCCTGAAAATTTACTCTTTCAATACTTTTAACATTTATGCATTAGATAGCTTAAAAATATTTTTACTAGTTATGCCACTCACAAGAAGACCAATGAATGTAGTTTACTCATTAAGGTATTTTTTTGGTGTGGGTGTATGTGTTTTGTCATTGGGATGTATGTCCCATCCCATTCCCTGGGGAATGTACTATCAAAATACTGACTTGAAATACTTATTATGTGGTTTATAATTCTTCTAGAAAGAAAAACATTTACTTGTCAACTATTTGGTTGATAGATAGCTAGGTTAATTATTTTTCATTTATTCTCAGTTTTTGGAGGTTGCTTTGTTTTTCCTTTTGGTTTAATTTTTAAATTAATGTAAAACATTTATGTAGTTCCAAAGTCAAAACTATGAAATAAGTACCTCGAGAAAAAGCCTGCTTGCATACTTGTTCCCATTTCCTTTCTCTCCCTCCTCAATAGGTAACAATTTTTGTTAGCCTTTAGTTTATTCTTCCATTATTTCTTTCAGAGAATATTAGCAAGTATGTGTTTGTATTTTTCCCACTTCTTGTATAAAAGGGAGCACATATTCACTGTTGTACACCTTGTTTATTCACTTAACACTGCATATTTTTGCTAGTCTATCTTAGGGATACGTCCCTGATGTGGGATTGCTAATTGAAAGAGTAAATCCATACAAACTTTTACTATTATCACTAAATTCCCATCAATAGCATTGCATCATTTTTGTGTTTGAGAAGATTTTGAAAATAAGGATTCCCTCGTCTCTATTGAATTGGAACTCCAAGATTTGGCTTCCCAGGTGATTTGGATGATCACTCAGATTTGGGAAGCCTATTCTAAAGGAAATTTTTAAGGCCAACATAAAATTAGATCCAATTAATTGGTCACTTGATATGTGCTAGGTATTGTACCAGGCACTGGTGGGAGAAATCCTAACATGGTCTAATATAGTCTCCTTTGGAGGATCTAACAGCCTAGATACCAGAGAAGAATCATTCATGAACAAATCATTGTAACATTGTGTGATTGCTAGAATAACAGAGATGTACACATGGTACTAAGGGAGCACAAAAAAGTAAGTAACTCTATGAGAATTGTACCTGAGGTAGACTGGGACAGTCTATTCCTAATAAAAGCAGAAGTATGCACTTAACAAACTCTTTACAAAACATATTGAATGAAGTCTCCTTTCCTGAGAAGAAATAAATCATGAGTCTGACTGAATGCATCCCATTTGTACTTGCTTCTTTGCTTGTTTTTTTCTTTGGCATAGCTTCCAATTTTCAGGTTGGAACTACCATGGACATCTGTGAAGATTTTTGAACCTAAAATCATAGCAGCATGCCGAGTCCTAACATAATGATCTTTTCAGCATGAAAACACTACCATAATCATGAGCATACTGTGGTCTGCATAAAAGAAATAATGCCATTCATGTAGTTGACAGGAGAGAAGATAAAAGTCAATAAAAAGAGAATTATTTATTAAAAAGATCTAATGTTACAAGAACAGTACACAGAACTATTATCTGACTGTGCCTTCCACATGGTATATACCATTATATATAGTATATACAGATTATATACAATATATTTAATGGTTTGACATAGGGTCCACAGTACCTTCATTTGGGTATGCAAAACATTCGATTTCATGAAATTTTTAATTATGAGGAGTATTTTTTTCTTCATAGTTCAATTGACATTATACAAAAATACAGTCTCTTTAGTGATGTAAGACTGTGTGGTTACCATCCCATCCAAGAAAAAGCTCACCCAGTACTGCAGCTGAAAAATAATGTACCTTCACAAGGAATGTTGTTCTGCTTTCTACAAAGTAACAAGTTTGTAATACATAAGTACAGAAACATTTAAAACCTGTTTTTTTAAATAGGTTTATGATGCAAAATACACATTCTATGCATTGAGTAAAAACATCTCATATTTCTGATTCCTGTAAAATACGACATCAGACTATTCACATATTCTATATGTAAATATTCTGTCAGATATGTACCATCCATCAGATAGTTAGAAATATTGGTTAGTTTGAGTTTGCCGTATATTGACGTTATATTTTATGGGTTTTGTTTCATAAGTGTAAGTAGCAACTTGATTCTTAAAGTCCTTCATCAAGTCTAGGATAAAAAACCATGGGAAAATGAAGAAAATGGATTGATTCATCAAATATAAAGTAAAAATTATTGCCCCTTCTTTAATATTCTTGCTGCATTTTTTTTTCAGATGCACAATCTTCTCCTGAAAGTTACACTGTACTCAGGAGAGCTCATATTTTGCCTGCTAGAGAGTTAGCATCCTTCTATCTGCAAAGTCCAGCTTCTCCCACCAACGGAGGTGCTCAAGGAAGGCCACTTAGTGGTTATTATTCACAGGCTCCGATATTTACCACCTGTAGTAATTTACTATAATAGCCTGCTAACTAAAATAGACTTTAAATCACTTTTTGTTTGTTTAGGGGTATCTTGGACATAATTCCCCCCAAAGAGAATGAGTAACCAACATACATAGTTGTATGTGGCTCTGAAACCAATCTTTTAGTATGTTCAGAACAGAAACTCCAGTCTCTCCTCTAATTCTACAAGTATTAACCCCTAGAGCCAGCAGTTTGAGCTCAGTATTGCTTCCTGTTGCTTGCTGTTAAAGATACAAGTAGAACTAACAGGTTTAGATTTTATAAAAGAAAAGAAATTAGTTTTGGTTCTCATATTAATATCATCTGTTAAACTGTAGTTTCTTCAGGCTCATTTTTGGCATATGACTTTGCGATAACTATCCCACTAGTCATCTTCTTGAGTGTAATGGGAACTCTGGCACATTCTCATTTTGGTTAGAACTTCTGGAAGATATCATCAAGTAGAAAACTTTCAGCTCACTTTCCAACAGCTATCTAGGATCACTTAGGTTCAAATTGCCTGTTTAAAATAGCAAATGGGGATCACCTCCCAAATAACGTATGGCTGGTTAGACTAGCTGAGCTCCTGTACTGAGACCATGTTTCCATAGCTTAATTAAAAAAAATCAATTCATCCAAGAGGTCCTGTTTATTTTATTAGTTGGTAATATTTTATAAGTCGTATGTGATGCATAGAACTGTTTAAAAAATCAAAATTTATGTGTTATGCTTTAACCCTTTTAATTCACAGATTATATGTATGCATAATTATTTGCACAACAAATTTTTATTGTCCTTAAAATTATTTGAAATTAGAAGAAAACCTTGGATCTAATTCAACATCTGTTTTGGCTGTAGGTGGAGATATGAGAAAGCTGTGTCCTATATTCATTTCGGTTTCACGTTAGCACCCTTGGCAGCATCTCAGCGTCTGCAGTTTGAAGTGATCATATAGTTTTTGTGACTTTAAACTCTCTTGTTATTAAAAATAAACATTTACTATATTTTCAGCTAGATAACATAGTACTTGATGAAAAACAATAGCACTTAAATTCATCTGGACTCACTTTCTATTTACCTCGTGCTAATGTAAATGGCTTATTCCCTACCCTAATAACTTGCTCTAGGGAGGCATAGAGAACAATATATTGACAAATTTTGCTATTTCACTATGCAATCATACAATATTTTTTGAGAAAACTTTTGTGTATTTATCCTATAATGGACCACACAACTGAAGTATTTTTTCATATCTTCTGCTGATTTGTCAATTGGAATAATCAGCTGAAGGGAAAATGAAAAACATTAGACTCGGAGTCTCAAGCAAACTTTTCACTTTCAATTTTGTATTTATGTTTGAAACAGACCAGCTAGAAATCATTGAACAAATGGATGGCACACACTCAGGGTCATCAGATATAAAATCAAATTCCAACATATTAAAAAAGTAAACAATGCATTTGACAGAAATTACCTTTGCTTACAAAAATTCATTACATACAATCTGCATATTTTTATTGGACCAAGAACTGTCCTCTCCATTTACAAAAACCAAAGAGAAACCTGATGGATAAGTAATATTCTCCCCAACCTCCTGTAAGTGCACCATGCGTAATCCCAAGTTTTTAAATCTCATCTCAGGGTCCTGGGTCTCCATTTACACGACACTCTATTCACTGCTGTTATCAAGCTAAAGCAAAGAAAAGAAAATTAAGTGCAGTTTTCACCAAGAGGTTGAAGGAAGCATCAATGCCAAAAGCAACGTCACTGAGGATGAAGACGTGGAGAGGGTGTGGAGGGTTGACTGAGCACTAGTGATTTTCCCACCTGTGAAAAAGAGAAACATTAAATGGAGCAAATTATTTTGGTCTTGCCTGAACTAGTTAAAGAGTTGTTTTTAGGTATGTAAGACAAATGTGTGTAATATTGGTCCTACTTCTGATGAGACTGTCTCTCATAATGATAACACAAGACATCGTCTGGGGTTCCCAAGAGTTACATGAAGAGAAGAAGTAAATATATGGAACACTGTGTTGAAAAGCTATGTCACATCTAACAAACACATCTAATCAGGAGATTCAGTGTAATTTTCACTGATGATACATTGATAGAAAGCATGTCAAATTCCAGATATGAAAAATAAAATAATTTCTCTAGTGCATAATTCAGGAAATGCAGTAAAAATAATTTGTAAAAGTTTGTGGCCACAGGCATTCGTAATTTAATTACTTCAGTCAATTTTTCAACTTAATAGTAATAAAACATTGTTTAATATACTTCGGTCCTGCATCTATACACATCTGGACAGTAATAGGTCACTTCTGGCATTACTTTAAAAAGTATAAAGCAATAGAATGCAAATACATTAGCCATGGGTCCTTGATTGATTTGACTGTTTCAGTTGATCAGGCTTACATTCTAGATTCTCATGTCAAACTTGGTGAAGGAAAGCCATCTTTCATTACTCTTACTTACTCCCAGGAGAAGTTCTTCCTTCTTGACACCAAAACACTGTATGCAGTTAATGGCTTAGGTTGGTTATTTGATGAAACTCACTGATCTGAATTGATTAGTCTGAAACAGTTTTGACAGCTCCACATAATCACAAACTAAGATCTAACTAACCCTTAGATCTAACTTCAGGAATGGTTTTTCAAGCCAGAAGTCTTCTGAAGCATCATCATCATGATTGATATTTGACAAATCCTTACTACATGCCATGCACTGCACTAAGCCCTTTATACATATTATCTTATTTGATCTTCATGACATTCCTATGTGGTAAGTACTATCATTTATCCCTCTGTTGCAGATGAGGGAACTGGGGCTTAGAAAGATTATAGAACTTGCTTAAGTCATTGCGCTGGGATTAGTGGAAACAGATACTCTTATGTATTGTCTCTCTTAAAACAGTGATTGACCTTGATTAAAACCATAATGATAGAATAATAATAAAATATACCACCCAAGTTTTGGAATCATCCCTCTGTCAAGTTATCTTCTTTGGCCAGATTGAGCATAACGGAATTCTGGGCATGATTTTTGTTACTGAAATAGAGTCTAAATTTATTTTCCAGATGCTTACTTATGAGCTGAAGAATCATTTGCTTGGTAAATCACACATACACACACACAAAGCAGCAAATCTTCTTTCCTTTGAAAATTTTTACAGCTAAGGCACTAATAAAACCTATTAATCAACATGTTGGAGAATGTTACATATATTTCAACTTGTACAAAATGGGGTCGTTACGAAGTGCATGGCCACATGTGAGCCATAAGAAAGGCATGATGACAAAGCCTCGCTGGACTGGTATGTGAATGCCTGATAAATAAAAACTGTGAAAACATCCTTTCTATTTATTTGAGAGTGGCTGAGTCCTTGTTAAAGCAACTGACATGACACTTTTACAAAAACATGTCACTTTCAGAATGCTAAGTGGGAGCTCTATCTCAAATTCCATGGAGAGTCCACAAAGCAAAAACGTCATTTTGGCATAGCAAAACAAAACAAAACACAAACAACAGCATCGGACTAAGTTCTAGTCCCAGCTTTAAAGCTACCTAGCTATTTCACTTGAGCAAGTCATTCAACTTCTTAGACTTCTTGGTTTTTGGAAAATAAGAATGAAACCAATTGTTGCTCATGTTTTGTGGGTCTGAGAGAGACAATACTGTGAGATTTCACTTTATCAAAGCTCAGGAAATGGGTTGCACTGGCCAAAGTATTCGTAACTAACATAAAAGTTGACAATTTTTTTTTTTCCCATGGAATAGAAGTTACAAGTTAATTAAAATATACATGAGAGAATCAAGGTCTTTATAAATACTTTCAAGCTTGGGGCTGATATCATCCAGATGATACTTTAGAATGTGATTGTGTTAGAGTTGAAAGGAACCTTGGAGAGTCAAAGAATAATAAAATATTTAACTTATCAGGTGGTTATAAGGATAAAATAAGATAATATATGGAAAACATCCAGTGTAATGCTAAGAATATGATCAGGGCTCCATAAATGCTCTTTGTATTGCTGTTATTAGAAATTTGACTCTTATGAAGCAATCAAAGAGGAGAGTTGTCATCTTTTTTGCTTTTCAGAAATAATCTTTAGTCTTTTACGATGCTCTTGAAAATTTAACACCCACATCTCAAGAGTTCAATTGTGAACTAATCAATGTAGAAACATTATTACCTTTCTTGTTCTCAAAACTATACTTCTATAAATGAATCATAAAGTCTATTAAGTTTTAGTGTGGTCACAATGTATTTAAATTCTTAAGTCTTTTCACCTGAATTTCTGAAAAAGTTAGGTTCCCTGCACCTTATGTTTTTTATTTTTAATGTTTTATTTTGAAATAATTTTATATGTACCAAAAAGTTGTAAGAATAGAAAAAATTCATCCAGATTCCTTAAATGTTTATGTTTTACTTTCTTGCTTTATTATTCTCTCTATAAAAGTATACCTTTTTCCTGAACTATTTGAAAGTAAGTTGCAGACATGATATACCTTTAACACTAAATACTTTAATGTATAGTCCCTAAAATTAAGACATTTTCTTATATAACCACAGTACATCTTTAACAACAGGAAATTAATGTAGATATATATTACCTAATCTACAGACATTATTAACATTTTATCAATTGTCCCAATAATGTTCTTTGTCTCATCTGAAATTTTTATGAAATAATTTACTTACCAAGTATGACGTCGCTAGCTTTTCCTCAAGGTTTTAGTCTATCTTATTATTTTCTCCACTATATTTTTCTTCTACCTCACTTTGTGGCATCAAAAAAAAAATCATAAGCATTGCCTCTGGTCTTAATCCAAGTTGATAAACATAATACAATATATATAGGGTATATGTTATATATGAATATAATAGAACCTACATGATGTCATTAGATTCTTCCCTTTAGTTTGACAATTCTGGTTGAGAATGACTGCTCAATAAACAATGATCAAATTGCCCATTAATTAATGCACATTAAACACTTTTTATACAAGACTTTAAGGAAAATTGCCTAATACTTTCTTAATGAGAGACTTGCATATTTAATTAAATCTTTTGCTTCCTTTTTTGACTACCTCAATCAAATGGTTACTTTCTTCCAAATTTGTAAAATCTCTCTTCCTTTAATTAGCTTTCCCTTGTTGGTATAATAATGATGGTAGTTGTGAAGATATGTGGCCTTGGAGACAAGCAAACCTGGGTTCGAATCCTGGTTCTTTCACTTAGTAATAGTGTGACCTCAGGCAAGTTACTTAAGTCTTCTCTATAAAGCAAGATTAAAGCTACCTACCTTATATGATTGTTACTATGGTTAAATAAGATGACATATGTAAAGCACTATGACATATAGTAAAGATCAGAAAAAGCTGGAAATTATTAATATTACTAATAAGAACAAAGATATTCATACAAGTTCTGGGGATCTAAAATACAGCATGGTGATTATAGTTAATAATACTGTAGTATATACTTGAAAGTTGCTAAAAGAGTAGATTTTACATGTTCTCACCACAAAAAAGAAATGGCAGTTATGGGATATGATGGAGGTGTGAGCTAACGCTGTGGTGGTAATCATTTTGCAGTATATCAAGTGTATCGAATCAACATGTTGTGCACCTTAAACTTAGATAATGCTATATCTCAATTATATTTCAATAAATCTGGAAAAAAAACCCAAACCAAAAATCCAAAGAAGCTCAATAAAATTTATCAATAAATACAATCAAATTTTAATTTTAAAAAGCATTCCCTTTAAACTTGTGTCCCTCACTCTCTTATCTAACAACAAAGGCAATTGACAATAGAGAAGTAGGTTTGTTAAACTAGTGGAATTTCAGTTTAAAAGTAATATTGCAAAGCCCAAATGGCCACCAAGGAACTGCTTGAGACCAGGATAGGCAAGGGAATTTCACAAATAAGGGCATTATAATGAAAATGTTAACTCCTTTCTGGATTTGTAGAAATTCTGCAATTGTGGGCAGACCACTACGGTTTGTATATGGCAATCAGAGTGAGAAAAGAGACCCTTCAAAAATCTCTGATCCATGTAATCCATCCTGTTAATTTTGATGAGGTTCACACCATCTTGACATGGTTGACAACAGATTAAGCCTATTATGTCAAAACTTACCTGAATATGATGGTACCCTGATTTGGGAACTAGCCGTTCCATCCCCTCCTTCACTATATGCTCGAACTTCAATAATATAGACTCCAGCATCGGGGAGTGGTACTACTGCTTGGGGTTTCTGCGTTTCAATAACTTGACTGTTGCTGTGACCTTCTTGCCTATAAAAAACCTGTAATAATAACAGGTTTAAATATTTGATATTGCATTGAGGATTCCAAATGTTTATTGACTGCTTACTGTAATTCTGAGCTAAGTTCAGGGAGCTGACAGCTGAGATATATATGTCAGCAAATGCAATATGTGTTATATGCAACAGTTGAGGTATACGTAAGGGGCTATGGAAGCACAGAAGGGAGAGTTGAATTCTGTGGGTTTGGGGAAGGCTTTTCAGAGGAGACGATCTTGCACTGAGTATTTAAAGATGAGTAGAGTTCACCAGTTGGAGAAGGGGAGGAGAAGGATTCTGGGAAGAGGTAAGAGAAGATTAAAAAATACGTCTAAGCAATAAGAAACCCTAACATTAGGGGAAAGAAAGGAGAGAAGAGATGTATGGGGATAGTGAGAAATGAGGCTAGTGAAGCAGGTAGTGAGGAGGCAGACCACTGAAAGTCTTTTCTTCCTGCTTATTGAAATGAATAGTATCCTGAGGGAGCATTCAAAGCTGTCATCTTCAAATTGTTTGAAAGGAGTAAAGGGAAAAACTGTTAAATATATCAATAATAAATCCTTTATAAGGTAGGGAATGGCTGAAAAGTTAAAATTTTATTAATTATTTTTACTTTTGTGTTTGCTTTTTGGTGAACTGGCATTTGGATACATTGAGAAGCAAAGTTAAGGCTTTTCTGACATCTGTTCATGGTACTAGAATTCAACATGTATTCATGGCAAACAGAGTTTCAGAACTACAAATTAGGGTGGGCCCCATGGCTGAGTGGTTAAGTTTGAGCGCTCCACTTCAGTGGCCCAGGGTTTTGCCCGTTTGGATCCTGGGCGCGGACATGGTACTGCTCATCAGGCCATGCTGAGGTAGTGTCCCACATGCCACAACTAGAAGGACCCACAACTAAAAATATGCAACTATGTACTGGGGGGCTTCGGGAATAAAAAGGAAAAAATAAAATATTTTTTAAAAAAGAACTACAAATTAGGACAGAATTATCCTGTGTTTACATGTCAGAAAACTAAAGTCATAGAAGTTATGTGATTTATACAACATCATGTGGCTAGTTAGGGAAGAAATTACATTAGAAGATCATATTTTGATAATCTAGTTCAGAGCTATTTCACTATGTTATACTGTTTCTACTCATTTCCCTCCAATAAATCTTTTTTTTTTGAATAATAGTCAAGTAGCAGCAGTTAAGATATTTTTAAATGCAGTTTTATTCAGTTTCATCATTTTTGTGCTTTTTCATAATTGTCGGTATTATAATATGATTGCTTTGCATAATGGAAAGAGTAATGATTTTGCAGTCATGCAGATCTGGATTCAAAACAATCTCCTACAAAAAGAAACAAAAAACAATCTCCTACACACTCCTGTCTGGGTAAATTTGGGCAAGCTACTAACCTTTCTAAGCCTCAAGTGCCTCTATTGTATAGTAGAGATAATAACACCTATTTCATGGTTTGGTTAGGAGACTGAAATGAGAAAATGCATAAAACACCTTAGCACAGGACCTGGTGCATGGTAAGCTTAGTAAGAGAAAGCTATTTCTTCTGTTGCCATCATTGTTCACTGTCAATGGTCGGTTTTCAACTGCATCATAAAAGATGGACTGCCTTGGGAAGCTAGACAAAAATTTATAATAGATTTTTCTTATAAAAAATGTGTTTTGAGCTTGAACTAACCCACATACAAGAAAAGAAAACTTCCGAAAAGAATTTTTTTTTTTTTTGTATGTTGAAGCCTGCCTGCACTTGATCCTGCCCTCTGCATTCTGGTAACGTATGCTCCCTCCATTTCACTTCTTTTATCTTTCATGGATTAAATTTACTTCAGGGTCTCGGGAGAGAAGTAGCTTCTCTTTAAAAGTATAGAACGTGCAATAATTGTGTCTACTGAAATCCTTATAGGGAAGGAAGCTATAGCCTCAATGTGGTTGCAAAATGATAAGAGCATCATCAAATACATTTATTGGGCATCCCATGTGGACCAGGCACAATACTGGAGATTCATCAGAGAATAAGACCACATGGTTCCTGCCCTCACGACATTTACAGTCTGACAGTGGAGACAGATAACAATGTCATGAAGTGTGATGTGTACTGCAATTGGAAGCACATTTGGTGGGAAAGCCAAGAGCCGAGTGGGTTCTTGGGATTTGGGAAATCAAGATCAGTTCTTGGAGGATGCCTATAGCAGGTTCTTTTGGCTTAAAAAAATGACAATTGTATCAGAATTTATGCTTCTCATTTTGACTGTAGCAGTATAATGAATTAGAATTCTGATCTACATGAGGTAATTAGAAAGCAAATTTATGGCAAGGGGAAAATATGTAAATTGGTGAGGATTGACAGGGGAGTGACTATTTTAGAGGACATTGTTATTATGGTTCAATAAATTACAGTTCTTATAACAAAGAAAAATGCAGCCAGTAATGCATATCTAATGTTGCTGTGAAATCCAGAGTTGAAGGAAAATTTGTGGATCAGTTGAGATTTAGGAAGAAAAGGTAAAGGCAGGAAAAATAATCAGTTAATGATAGCAAAAGGAGTTTGAAATTAAATGTGGATTTTACCAATGCAGCCAGGAAGCTGTAGTACCATACGCTGGTAAGTAGGTACACTAAGTGAAAAGATACATTAAACTAATGGTTAGTCTCAGATGCTTTAGAGAATCTTGGCTCATTTTAAAATCCTGATTTAGAAAAGATGAATGAGAATGAGAAATATGAGAAGGTTAAGGAGTTATCAAGACATGTCAGATATAGTTATTGACAGTAAGGCGGGAGTACTTTGAGAATCTGGACATTTATAGATTGACGGTTGCAATGACAGCCATCCTTAGGCATGAAGGAAATTGTCTAATGTATTGTCAAGACTATTCTCAAATTCTGCTTAAAGAGCTGAAAGCAGTAGGTTATCCAAAGAGATGATCCTAAACAAGAGAATTAATGCAGTACGGCTCTTCTCAAAGGCATGATCTGGAAACAACTAGTCTATATGTCTGATGAGTGAGTGTGCTTAAAAATATAGCAGAATACATTTTTACTGGTTTCACCTACAAGTGCACCAGAGAAGGATGGATCCTGTTAAAGGGAAGAGTTGTTCACCAGCTTAGCATCCTGGGAATAGTCAATGGGACAACTGCTCTTCTCAATAGCGGGTGAGAAATGCAAAGCCCTAATGGCAATGGGTGGGTGAGGAAGAGTCAGCAAGATGAATAGAAGCTGGATGAAAAGCAGTTGGGTAGTACAAGTACCAGTGAGAAGCCACTGGGCTATAGGGCGGCCAAAAGCACTTTTAAGAACAAGACTTCCTAATGGGCAATTTTCAGAAGTTTGCTTGTATGGTGTGCCTTTCACTTTATCACCCCCTGCCAACATTTCCATACAATCCAATATAAATATATATAGATTTGACATTACATAAGCCATTTGTTTTAATTTTTAAAAAGTATTATGAAAAGTTTTAAGCATAATCAAATGTGGAGAGGATAGTGTAAGCCATTATATGTAAGTTATTTTAATTTGTAGGACTCATAGGAAAGAAGTTGAGTTCCACATTTGGAGTGAATATAAGATGAAGGAACAGTTGCAAGATATAGGAAATCAATGAGACTAGCATGGCCAGAGACTTTAGGCTCCATGAGAAGCTGGTGAAATATAGGTGTGGGCGTCAAAATTCCACAGGGTGTGGAATACAATGTCAATCCAAGCATACATACGTCTCAGGAGTCTAGAAGGCCTTGGCTGCTAGCTAAGTTGTATAAACAAACAAAAACTTCTATCTGTATTGGTGGATCATATAATATCTGGTAAACTTTGAGCCTGATTTCCCCCTACTCTCCTAGGCTCTGTAAATGGGCAGAAAGTAGTGGTGAGGGTACAGATGGCCAGTGAAGGGATTGTATAGCTGGGGAAGGATATTTTCTAGATGTCAACTAGAAAAACAGGACTTTGTTTTCTTGGATGTAGCCTGAAGCCCTTGTCCTGAATTTCTTCTGCCTACTGCGTCTTTTCTGAATGGAGAAAAGTTTCTCCTGGTTGGGGAGAGGATATTTGCACAAGTGAAAGCATAGCCCCGGGGCATTTAGTATTCATTTTCCCTTTCACTTGGGCATCAATTTGTACTGGGAGAATAAGGTGAGGACAAGATGGCTATTTTACCTCATAATCTTCATAAACTTCTTTCATAGAATGAAGAAAAATAACTCACCATTCTCAAGATCACTAAGGAGAATTATGGCTGAATATACTTTGGTCTATAGCTTTGTTATTGGTATTTCTTCAAGAATGCCAATAACAGATGTATAATATGTTATATGCCAAAATTAGTAAGGACTGTAGATACAGACCCCAAACTGGGGGATTTATAAAAATGAAGTTTTCTTCATTTGAAAACATTTATTTGAAAAAATAAGTCAATTTAGGAAATTTTTTATTTAAAGTTTTTTTCTACTTTACTAAAAATTTATAAATAATATACTAAAATATGTGGCTGATTCTGAATGGAAAATGTAAAGAAAAAGAAAAAGAAAAAGAAAATGTCACACATTGGTTGACTTGAATAAGTCGTAAACAAGCTAAATACACTTCCAAATTTGATCCAGCTTTTCAAATGGGGAGTTATTTTATTTGAGTAGGAATAATTTGTAGCTATGTCTACAAGAGACTACCCTTTTCTGACATTTTTCTGATTCTCCATGCTTTTACTCTTACTTGTTAACGAAAGCTATGATGTTTTGAAATTATTGTTATTAAATCTAGAGGTCTTGAACAAAATCCCCAGAAGTCAAGGATCCTTGGACAGTCTCAAATAGCAGTGAGAAATTTCACTACTAGGTAATACTTAACATTTATCTGAACGGATTCGATTTTAATGTGTTACCTATGACACAATTATATATGGCTCAATTCCATCCTTCTTTTGCGATATTCTTGGTTGCTTTCCATGTCCTCGATAAGATTTTGTGATGAGGACATCGCCTTTTTCCTCTTAACACCTTTGCACAAAATTTATCTTATCCTCATGTCTTTCTCTGGTAATATCTTGTCCTTATGCATGTTGCTGACATCTCAATCTCTGAAATCAAGTAAGGAAGTAAGATCCAAGTCTTCTGAGAAAATGGATTGTTTGAATGTTAAGTTCTGCTGTTTTATCTTATTATCTTAGTATTCTATTTTTGTGGTTTATTTTTTGAAAATGAGTTGTATCCTGTGTATAGTATCTTAACTATAAAAAGGAAGAGTTTAATGGATTATTTATGGATCAAGTTTATGGAATTCATTTTTTTCCCACATTTACCATTTTTCAATCATTTTCACAATCTGGAAGACTTCTAGATGAAGGCTTTTCTGAATTAACCTAACTTAAACTGGACTTAACGCAAAAGGTGGAACACACAACTCTTGCATTTTAAAACTCAAGCATTGACTCCAACGTTCCAGCTTCAAACCCGCATGCCATACATTTCTAGTGGTCCCTTTTGCTTATAAAAGTAAAGCAACTTGGCAGAGACAAAGAGCAAAAATGAATTTACTTCTCTTTTTGATATTCCAATTAATTGTGGAAGCTCTCCCTTGCCCTGATTAGCAGGACAATCTCTACCTCAGATTTTCCAAGAATCCCAGGGAGCAAATTCAGTCTTAATGGGTCAGGCCTAACTCAAATTATCTCATGGAAGGAGAAATAATTAGTGTGCTACAAGTCCCTACTTCTGTTCATCTTTTGTGACTGCCACACACTATTGTGCTTCAGAAGAGGTGGCTCACTATTACACTGGTGCCATTCGAGGTCTGGCAGTAGTTATTTGGCATGTGGTAGGAATCAAAGAGGAAGTCTTCTCCCTCTGAGTACCACGTCCAGCCCTGGCCACACATTTGTGTGAACCTCCCTCAAGATGGTACAGCTCTTTCACTGCAATGCAGATCCTTGCCGAGGCCACAGTAGTTCTCTTCAAAGTCATGTTGAGAAAAGAGGGCTCTAAGCTTGTGTTCTCTGGATTACATCTCTTTAGTTTATATTCGCAGCTATTGTTTCTAATCACGTTCCTGTTCCATTGTGTGTGTGTCAGGAGGAGCTTTCATCCTTAGCCACCTGACCTGTGAAAACCAGACCTTCCCAGGAGAATCCAGGCTCTAAGCCCCAGTCATCAGTCTGAAGTCCTTCTTCCCTCATGGGGCCTTTTCTGTCATTCCTGCCAGTAGGTCGCTCATTGGGGATTATCTTATCCATCAGAGGTTCAAATAAAGTTTAGTTGCAAAACAACAGATTTTGAGGTCTCACTCCATTCATGATCAGCAGACTCCTTTCTCAGGAACCAGCTCTTCCTTTCAAGGGACACAAAGAGGTGCAACCATTTCAAGAAAATAAAAGAAAAAAATTCCTCTCTCAATGTGTGTCTACTTGTCATTACTTATACAACTAAGATGGACCATGTTAGTGATTCTTCTCCCAGCAAGAAGGTGTTCCAAGTTGACTTGTGCTGGCTTCATTAAGATAGAGCTGGCAGGCAGCTTTTAAAGATCAGTTTCTTTTGTTAAAATATTTTCAAATTTCACCTAACCAGGTACTCTTCTTCAATAACAACAAGAACAATAGTAGCTATTTTTCAATGAGCAACTTCTATATGCTAAGTATTTTACATGAATTATTTTATTTAAAACTTAAAATAATCCTGTATGATACATATTATTATTGCCATTTTTGAAGTTAAAAAAATGAAACTCAGAGAGGATAAGTAATTTGCTCCAAGTTACACAGCTAGAATTTGAATTAAAGTCTGTCTTACTCAGAAGTTAGTGCTCTTCTCCACTACACCACAACAAATGGGAAGGCCATGCTGGAAAAAACACAAATCTGATAATATACACTTATGAGTAATTGCATAAGATACTTCTAGTTGGGTGAACATTAATTAATTTATTCATCCATTCTAGAAGCATTGGGGATAAACTGATGAGTAAGACAGAGTTCTTGCCTTCAATCACATATAGGCTAGTTGGGGAGATTTTCACATATAAAGAGGAAGAGCAATGACAGAGATAGAAGGTGCTGTTGTGAGCAAAGAGAGGGGTCACCTCGCCTGGGAACTCTATTCCTAACCTCCCATCTTCTCCAGGTCATATGGCATTTCTCTTCTCACCTGAGAGGTGTCTAGAGCTGAATGGCTCTTCCAGGTGGCCATATGCTTTGATCTAGCACTTTCTTGTGTTCTACTTGCCTCTCCAGTTTGGGAGATTGCTCGCCATAATTCTGATAATATTAAATTGGTTCTTGGATAGTCCATCATCATTTCTGGCCATATTGCTATCCCTAATCATTGAAGGGTATATTTGCCTTAAAGAACAAGTTGTGAGGACATGGTCTTTGGGGAAGGGTATGGAAAGAAGAAGTCTAAGGGCAGAGTTTAGGGAATGGCTCACCCACCTTCCCCCAAAAGATCAAACTCAATATTCCTGAGGATTAGGACAGATTTGAGTGTGTGTGTTTGAGGATGAGGGTATCTGTGATCCATACTAATTACAATCTGTAGGAAATGCCACAGTTTGTGTCTTAAGACATTCTTCATGGGAATTACTTACCTTAAAAAATATATTCCATTTATAACTTCTTCAGTTTTTAGTTTTAGGATTTTAGCACTTTATATACAAAGTGCTGTTACCATCTTTGATAGTTGAAAAGCCACCTAAATGAGGCTTTTTAGTCTAAATATTATCATTGAAATATTTAAAAGTTCTGCTATAATAATATTCAACTAATGATTCTGTGTGAAGTTTAAGACAATAAATAGAATCTGACGTATACAATGAGAATTTGAAACTCAGCCAATTCTATACATAGACCACATATATTTTAAAATCAGAGACAAAGTTGTTTTTCAAAACAAACTGTCGAAATGTTTTCATATTTCCAGATCTCTTGCTGGCACATAGCAGGATGACCATATATGAAATGTTGTATCTATTTTGGAGCTCGCTATTTCTCTCCATGGACTCTTTCCTATCCAGTGTGCTGGCCTCAGCATTTTTTTCATCTTGTTTCTCTGCTAATAGAAAGTCTGTCTACTCAAAGTAAGTCATCCAGTCTTTGCCATCTGCTGGCACAGTTTGTCTGCTGGGAGAGAACGCCAGGACTCTCTGCTTAAGTTCCGCTGGTCCTGACACTGAATCATGGAGCCGTCTTCACCTTGTATTAAAACTGTTGTTGCTTTTCCTACCCTTTCCCTTCCTATGCCTTGTGCAGTTGGAACTGATTTTGATTGTCTTGGTTTCCCTACTGCAGGAAGTCTCTTTCTAAGATGCAGGTAGAAAAAGATTGAGAAAAACAGGTATGTTAATGGATTTTTTATGCCTTATTAATTATACATCGGCAAGATAACAATTTTCAAGATGAGTGTCTATCCAAGAGAGTGAAGGAACACTGACCTTGTAGCCCAGGACTTCAGATTCGTTGGCTAATGGTCTGACAGGTTCCCAGCCCAGAGAAAGCTCAGAGCCTTGTTGCTCCCACCTGAGGTTGCTGGGTGCTTGACTGGGGGCTGCAGAATAAAAAGTGAAAGTGAGCTGACAAGGAGTCTTAAAAACATTTTTTCACTTCAATCCTTTTGACTATTTCAATCTTGTCGTTGGCTGGCACCATAGGCTTCCTTCCAGCTAGAGTCAGATAAGGAAGGTTTTGCTCCAGGAGTGTCATTTTAATAGCTACTCTACTGAGCTTTTGAACCTGAATCCTTTTATCTCCCTTCTGTGTCAAAATCGCTTAGCCTCGTTTCACAGGAAGATAACCTTTATCTACTGTGAATGCAAAATTTTCTGAGCTAGTTTTGGAATTCAGATCTAAGCATTGAAGCAAGACTATGAATCAAGACTCCCCTTCAACTCTGCTTGTGATGTACCACACGTGGCTTTCAGAAATGTTAGAAGATGTTTCCCTTTTGTCTGAAACAAACAAAAAGCCCAGGTCACTTACGGGATTTCTTGGTGGTTGCGCTCACTTCACTGCTAGGTGGCCCATATCCAGCTCCATTATAAGCCCTCACTGTGAAGTGATATAGCGTATTTCCTTCTAATCCTGTCAGGATGACAGATGACTCGTTCCCCCTAGTTTTGACTGTTTCTGCCGCATCTTCTTGTTCCATGTCTTTCCGATAACCAACCTGTCAACAAATTATCACATGACAGATTAATTTTAAAGTTTCCCTGTGCTTCTGATTGTTGGAACTTTTTTTTTTTTTTTTTTTAATATTTCTCAAACCCATCCCTAGGAAATCACTCTTGTACCATCCAATTAACAGGTCCTACTAATGAGGTCAAAATAACAGTCGTAGTCGCTGACTAATTTGCATCTGTGTGAATTGCAGCACTGGGGAGTACTCAACCAAGGAACAAAGGGTGCTACTTGTACCCTGGTAGCATGAAGAACATTAAGGAAAAGTCGTTCAAAGGAATCAATGAACTGCTCTTCTCTCATAGGTCATCAGAACCATTTACTGTTCAGAGCCATGGAGCTTTGAATGAAATATTTGAAAAAGAAGAATGAACAATATTTCCTCCTGACCCCACATAAGTTGAGGCACACAAACTGTATGAGTTTAATAGAGAAGAGGTGCCAGAACATTCACGACCTGGACAGAACATTAGACCCTAGAGTGGTCTAAATGTGGAGGAATCACATTGCTAGGATATGGGAGGGAGGCAGAAAGGAAGAGCTTTTTGTCAAAGCACAGTTTGTGCATTGAGATCATCTTTCCTGGTTATAAGCTATCATTAGGGCTGATTTCATACCAAACTTGATCCTCTGGTGAGATTCAGGAGTTTTTTCTGGGTAACTGAAGCTTAACCCCGTTGAGACACCAGAACTTAACCATGCATAAGTGCATAAAAGTGTGGGTATTTTTCCCTCTACTTATTTACTGTGCTGGAAGTAATGGAAGAGTAGTTCTTTCCCCCGGTTAATTACTGTGGTGAAGGAAGTGGATCACTGCTCCCTTTCATCCTTCTGCAAGTGCTTTGTGTACCGTAGAAGCTGGAAACCCAAAGAGCACATTTTGCAGATTCTCTTTCAGCAGAGGTTGCTGCTACAAAATGTGGGCAGCAAGGAGTTTGTTTCAAACTTGAGATATTTTGGAGTATGCCTAGGACTGCCATTTCTGGTTGTGGCCATGGGAGGTCATTATAGGCTCTTATCTCTCAGGAAAAAGTATTTGAGTCACCATGCCATATTAAAAGGCCTGTACCAGCCTAGACACTGGCTGAAGGCAAAGGGAATAAGAAAGGGATAAAGGAGGAAGGAAATTATAATTGCAGCTTTATGAAATGAAGACTGTAATAGCCATATTTCTTCCTTGTACTGTTTTTTATATAAATATTAAATAACACAGGCCCTTCCCTTTTTTCTGATATTTTTTATTTATTTATTTTTTTGGTGAGGAAGATTGGCCCTGAACTAACATCTGTTGTCAATCTTCTTTTTGCTTGAGGAAGATTATCACTGAGCTAACATCTGTGCCAATCTTCTTCTATTTTGTATGTGGGATGCCACCACAGCATGACTTGATGAGTGGTGCATAGGTCCATGCCCAGGATCAGCACTGGGGATCCCGAGCCGCTGAAGCCAGGCTCATGAACTTAACCACTATGCCACCAGGCTGGCTGGCCCCCATGTTCTGATATTTTATAGAGAGTGGGTTGTGGGTAGGTAGTTTTCTAATAATGTAGTTCATTAAAGGAGGAATAAACCTTTACCCTGAGATGGACAGATTGACTAATGGAGTTTTGTCTCTCCCTTTTAGGGAGCTGGTGAGTATACCTTCATTTGCATAAGAAAGATTTGCACTGTGTCAGTATGCAACATCATTGTTGCTAACTGTTGCTTTTGGGGAGTTGTTGAATGGGGAAAAGAATGTTTATGGATGTTGAATAACCAAAGGGATATGGTACATTAATGTTCAACATCCATTTCACCCTCATTCTAGTGTGTCTTCCTGCACTGAAGAAAATGGAAAGATAAAAACCATATTTCCAAGACTCCCTTGCAGTTAGGGCTCTGAATATGTTTTAGATTCAGCCAGTCAGATGAACATGCCTGATATTTGAAATTAAAAGTGACATGGAGGTTGAATGTTCACTGCTTCTGCTTTTTTGTTGGTAAGCATAGTAATGGAGTCATTATTTTTCCTTCTTTCTCCCCTTGTGGCAGCATTAATAAATGACTTGTTGTCTAACCATTAGCTTCATGGGAGTCAAGAAGCAGGGCACAGGTCCTAATTTTCTTGGTGCTAATCATAGCAAGCATGGTGGGACTCTGGAACTGGCGACAGTCACAAAGGCTGCCAGATCACAGAAGCTTCCTGAACATGGTGCCATCCTGATCATGGTGGCTTCCAAACGATGGCAATGGAGAGCACTTCTGGGACTGGTGGCTTCCTGCTTTTAGAAGACATCAGCATCTTCCTTTGTGGCTTGATCCTACAGTTTGGCTTTAATAGTCATTCTTGGAAGAGCACTCTGGAGTCTGTTAATTTAACTCAATAATTTTGTAAACCGTTTAATGCCTATGATAGAACACTTATTACACTAGTCCCAGTAATTCAGTTCTTTGCAACTGAACCCTGCCTGATACATCTACACAGATTTCTAATCTATGTACTTTTGTAAAAGGCTAATAAGATGATCACATTCTTATTTCTCATCCCAGTCTCTTCACAGATTTGAACTGGAATACAGCTGAGTAACTGAACTTCGGAAATTGTTTGATTAAGTGGAATCCTCTAGCACTGTCTTTTATATGATACTGGCCTCATTATTCTCAATTCCAAAAACTAACTTATCTTGCTTAGTCTCTAAGCATATGTTTAACTGAAGAATTCCAAGTTATTTTTAAACTACAAAATTGGCTGAGATGTCGTTGGATGAACAAACACATATCTTTCCTTTCCAGTGATATATCTGATTTCCAGTTCTCTCTTTCAATTTTCTTTAATTGGTTAGATTATTTTAACTTAATTAAATGTATATATTTGAGGGAGTTGAGTGTGATTAAATTCAACAAATTACAGCTTTTTATACAAATATAGATTTCAATACAAATTCTAGACTTCTAAATATTGAATGTTTAATGTTCTGATTAATAACCACAAAGTTAAACATCCTAAGTAAAAGGCAAAATGTTTTCTAAGTAATTGACTATAAGAAAAAGCAAATTCTAGTTGTACCATCTAAAACCTAGAGGGAAATCTAAAAAATCTACATATTACTTCTCTTTCTAGCATGTCAAAGAAAAAGAAGAACAGGAGGAGTTGTTACTTTCACAGTGAAATGATAATTATTTACCTTTTCTTTTGATGGGGAAGAAGGCAAAACAAAAAAAAAGATAAAAATATTTGGAGTGTAGCATAGTGCTTCTTTAGTGATCCTTAAACTGGAATTGTGGTAATAGAATATTCATGAGTCACACATACCTTCTAACGTTGAAATTTCCTCTTCATTCAATTTCTTTCCCCATCATTCAATTTCTATACTGATGACAGGTTTCATAACCCGTAAACTTTGAACTCTATATGAGATCACTTAAAATGAGGTTAAAAACATTAAAAAAGATATAAATGTCTAAAACTGGAAGGGTAGATAACCTACTGTTGTATCACTTCAGTTTTTTTGTGTGTGTATCGCTTTCAATATTTTTATTGCATTTGTTTTATACAATTATATACCTCTAATTTTATGTCCTATTTTTATTCCCTAACATGATAGTTGCATATAAATATTTTTCCATTTTTAAGGTAATATTCTACCATATGCCTGGTATACCAAATATTATTGAACCATTGTTCTATTGTGGAACATTTGGGTAGCTTCTAACTTTTGCTCTTTAATTTAAAATGTTGCCATGACTTCATGTATATCGTTTTCCACATTTTGGATACATCCCCAGAATACAATCCTGCACAGGAGATTATAGGGTCTAAAGGTATGTAAATCTTAATGCTTTTTAATACAAAAGTGCCACACTGGTTTTCAAAGAGTTTGTACTGATTTTCATTTCCAATGAGGGCATATGAGTCTAAGAGATAGACCACACTATTGCAAGATCTGGGCAGATCATGGGTTTGGAGACAGAAGGCCGATATTTTAATCTTACTTTTGATATCTGTAACCTGCATATAATAGGACAAGTTACTTAACCACTGAACCTCTATACCCTTGTTTATAAAACAGGTAAAATACTTGTTAGCTCAGTTTTATGAATCATTTTTAGACAGCTCCCCTATTATCACTCAACTACTTGAACTATTCTGTTTCTTCAGGTTTTAATATTTCTGATTTTTATTATTTCTAAGTCTGTTTCCCACTTTTTGCTATATTGCTTTGTTTTGATTTTCTGATTTTGTCTTTTGAAATTATTTTTATTTAAAATTATAAGGATATGGAATATTATTAGTGGCAGGCAGGAAACACACATTCTGAGTTAGCCAATAGCTATAAGAATATAAATTTGAACCTAAATCTATAGGATAGCTCTTCTTAGTTGATCTCCCACTTTTTCCAAAGTTGATTCTCCAGGATTATAATAATTTTAACTGTGCAGATAGTATATTTGAATGTCTGGTGTGATGATTTTAAGATGTGCACATCACATACAATTCAGTTCCCTTACATGAAGTTACAGGATCTAGAACCCCGGATTGTAGCTGTGTACAGTCGATGGTTACTGAGGAAGACTGGCCCTGAGCTAACATCCGTGCCCATCCTCCTCTATTTTATATGTGGGACGCCTGCCACGGCATGGTGTGCCAAGTGGTGCCATGTCCGCACCTGGGATCCGAACCGGGGAACCTGGTGGAACGTGCGCACTTAACCGCTGCGCCACCTCACTGGCCCCAGTTGTTAACTTTTCACTATTTCTCAGTCTTCATTCAGTCATCTATATAATCATTGAAGAAGTTTTCCTAAATTTTATCTTCTCCTGTTCAATTTTTGTTACCTGTTAGATTTTAAAAATACGACTCTTTTCTCTGCTCCTGTATTCACTTATTTCTATATCTTTAATTGTACTCAATGATCACTGTTTATTCAATATTATACTCCCTGAATTTAACAAACACAGCTCTATTTTCTGCTGTTATTTAATGTTGCAAAAGAGAAATTTGATTTTTGC